TGTGCGTGGTTGTTTGTCTATGTGTTAGCCCTGCGATGGATTGGCGACCTGTCCAGGGTGTACCCCGCCTTCGCCCGATTGCCGGCCAGGATTGGCTCCCCCCCCGTGACCCTGCTCAGGGAACAAACGGTAGAAAATGAATGAATGAAATGTATATGGTAGTACACTAGTAACCTGAGCAGGATATGATCCTGCTGGTCCTGGCACCTGCTGATAAAGAACTGGGCAGTTTCGCGCCCAGTGTCCTCTCTTGTGACAAATTAGACATCTGTTATCTCTTACAAAAGTTCTCCTGTTTGCCCTGGACCCTCGACCACGTGCTCGTGATCTGCCACAATTCTGAAAGCCACTGCTCATGGGTTGTGAATTCCATGAGTAAGGCTGGGGCCCAGGTACAGGTGCTTGTGCGTTGTGTAAAAAAGCAGAAGGCTGTGCATACATTTGCTTATCTGCAGCTTTGTGTTGGTTAACTTTGTCTCTGATCTCTTTAAGCTGTGCTTTTGTCAGCTGTGCTTGTAAGGAGGAGGGTTCATTTTCATCTTTTTCTCTATCTTCTTTGTCGTTGTCAGTATACTGAATAATGTAAGCTGACCACTGCTCGAGGGGAAGAGCATTTAAGCCTATCACTTGTTTCAACAGCTGTTGGATATGTACAGAAAGGGAAGATTCAATTGCACTGCGGAATAGTAAACCAACACTTTCAACCATCACAGGATCTTCGCCACTGTAATTATGCCACAATTCACGTACCCTAATAAGGTACTGGCTTCCTGTCTCCCCAGTCTGTGGAGGAATGTGAGACAGCTTGACACTCTGGGCTCGTAGTGGATACTTCATCCTGACCACAGGCCAAAGTGCATGTATTACAGTGTGAAGTGAGACTGAGTCACCGTCTCCATCTGTGTTTGCTAAGGCTTCAACTTCCTGTAACATACTGAGAGAACTACAAGCTGTGAATATGCGTCTGAAATCACCCAGAGGCACATGCACTCAGGCATGCCTTAATCCAAGGGGCTCCACCCTGCTCCAACGGGGGAAGACGAAA